CAGTCCGCTCCACCAAATGAGAATATCAGACCTAAAGCAGCATGCTGTCTTCAGAATCCTCTGACTTAATTAAGTTAATCATTAATGTCCATGACCCTTGTCCTGACATGTCTCCTTACCGTGTGTCCACCTCTGGGCCAGACCAGATGGGGTCTGAGTTCAGATATGAGTCTTAGGGACATTATTAGAATCTACATGTCTATTGAAATAAACTTCCCTTTTTTCAGTACTCACTGCCAAGCAGACTGACACCATGTTTCTACTCGTTTAATTTGATGCTACTTTTAAATAGCAAATTGTTGCTTCTATACAAATTCTGCATATTGTTCTGTGCTAGTTTTCACAACAAAGAAAAAAAATCCTGAAGTGTTTATACCAATTATTTTGGGGGAAATTATTTTTTAGACTCACTTGGCATTGTCTTGAAAAAATAAAAACCCTACAAACACATTACCTTAAGTTTTAATTCATTCAACGATAGTTTTTGAATGCCAGTTGTATTCTTATGAATAAAAACATTTATAACTTTGACATTATGCAAAAGTTGTTTATGAACTAAATAAGTCATTTATCACATTCTCTAAAATTTATTACCAAAATAAGAAGCAGGTTTGAGCTTCCTCTGTGCATGGCATTCTTGCAGAATGCTTTACTTCCTTAGCTCATTAAGCCTCTCACCAACTCCGTGAGATAAATTGTGTTATCGTCCTCGTGTACAGATGAGACAATGGAGTCAACAAGTTTAAATTGCTTATCCGAAGTAATGTAAGTCAAATGTGGAAAGCATAGTATAAACCCAGACAGTTTGATTCTTGCAGTCAGACTTTTAAACATGAAAAAGAACTGGACATTTAAAAATAATGATTTGACCTCTTTGATTTCATTCATTCATTCACTCATTAAAATATTTATTGAGTGTGTATCATGTGCAGGTGCTGTACTACATGTGATGATAAACTGGTAGGTAGGACAGAACTCTCCTCTGATATCTTCTTAACCAACAGAGTGGTAGATAAGTGTACACAGAGAGTGTTAAGAATGTAATGAAATTCTATCTGACCTGGTCTTGGCAGTTCAAGAAAGGCTTCTTAGAGATGGTGACATGACACCTATGGTGTTTGTTACTCAGGTGAGAGAGATCAAAGAAAGTTGGAGCTGGGTGATTAGCTATGAATGGCACATTAGAGAGGAATGGAACTGGAGAGAGGAGAATGTGTGCACAGGGAAAGATTTTGATTGATTCAGTAAAGATCTAGGGCTTCATTCATAGTTCACAGGCTGAGAGATGGGTTGCGGTGGACAACAGAGCCTGTACTGAATTGGAAGCTACACATACCCACGCACACACATTGCATTATGCTTCCTGGAAATGAGCCGATTGCTGTATCTTCATCCACACTCCCTAATGTCGTCTTGAAGCAGTAGCTGCTGTATTTATTTATGCCCCCCAGGTCATATGTAGACCAGAAATTTAATGATACTTTTGAGCCAATTTGAATTCAAGTCATCTTTTATCTTCCACTGTAGACCTGTTCATTCATTCATTCATTCACTCATTCATTCCTCTGTCCATTCATTTAGTTAACAAAGAATGGTACTATTACTTTGAACTAGCACAAACATATCTAGGAGTTTTTATCTTGTTATTTCTATTTTTCTCATTTTTTGCTATAGTGTGGCAATTAAGAGGTTAGACTTTTGAGGGGCACCTGGATGGCTCAGTCAGTTAAGCATCCAACTTGGGTTCAGGTCATGATCTCACAATTAGTGAGTTTGAGCCCCACGTCGGGCTGTGTGCTGACAGCTCAGAACCTTCTTCAGATTCTGTGTCTCCCTCTCTCTTTGTCCCTTTTCCACTCACACTCTGTCTCTCTGTCTCTCAAAAATAAATAAACATTAAAAAATTTAAAAAAAAAGAGGTTGGACTTTTGAGTCCGAATGTCTGGATTCAAATCCTGGCTCTTCCGTAAAAAGCTGTAGTAGCTTGGAGAAGGTAATGTTAACCTCCTGTGCCTTAGTTTCTTCAAGTTAACAATAGGGATAGTAATATCCATCACACGTTATTACAAAGTTTCAAATGAACAATTGATGTCAAGTCTAAGAACAGAGTTCAAACAAGCGTATATACATATTTATATCCGATATATAAGCATAGGTGTAAAACCAAAACATCCACCAAATTAACATACTGTTTAAATTCAGATGTTGTTTGCTTAAGAGCTAAGCATTCAGCAATCAAGGCTCCTTTGCTTCTTCAGCTATAACTAGGGATAATACCAAGGTGGATTTTGAAAAAAAGATGTCCGGACTCAAACAGCTGTCACATTGGAAGAGCTGCATGGTCACTGGGGCCCTAGTGGGTTGCTCACCCAATCCCGCCATGGACAGAAACTTGCAGTGCTCGTTCTCGGGTGAGGCAAGGGTTGGGGCGTGCTGGTCTGTGTTTCTGTCCACATCTGTGCGTCACTGCTTACCGGACATTACATACGCCACTCCTTGTGTTCGGGTTTTATGTACGTGACCTTGCGTATTCTACTGGTGCTTTAAAATACATTCTAAAGTTCTGTCTTCCTAAAAAATAAATGAAAGATGATAGATAATGTGAGTTGACCTGCATCCCCTTTTCTTTATATTTTTTTCCTTTTTATATGAGGATTCGAAGGGGAGTTACCTTGCTTAACTGGAAATGCTGTGTTTTCCCATTTGCAAACTCTTCAAAACCAAGAACCATGCCTTTTGATTTTCCCTACATTGCGTAGTCTAATCCTTAGTATATTCTACATCAATATTTATTGACAAAGTGTATATATTGTCCTGAAAGAGGAAAACTAAGTTTTATTACATGAGTGAAACCTATTTCCTTTAGCTGTGTTCTTTTTGTTCTCATTTCCGTTTCTATTTTTCTTGCCTACATCTGCAAATATTTATAGATTTTTGATTATTGATAAGGTGCTAGGTTGAGCTAGTGGTATAAAAATAAGCATGTATAGATCTGTTAGTATAATCCATAGCTTTATCTATAATGTCTCAATACCATAGTTTCAGAAGTAACATAAGAAACAGTTCCAGCCACATGCATCTCCCACCAGTTCAGCAGCAGAGCTGCCCAGTCGAGGTAGTTTGTCATCGCCACAGTGACCCCTCCCTTCTCGATCACGTCTCTGTCCTGGGAACCCTGAAGTTTCATGTTCCTCCTTGATGTCTCACCCCCAGGTGAGGGCTCACCCCCACCGAAGTGACTCAGACCTCGGAGTAACCCACTTCTCCCTGCTTATACTTTTTAAAAAATTTTTAATGTCAATTTATTTGAGAGAAAGAGGAGACAGAGCACGAGTGGGGGAGGGGCAGAGAGAGAGAGGGAGACACAGAATCTGAAGCAGGCTCCAGGCTCTGTGCTGACAGCTCAGAGCCTGACACGGGGCTCGAACCCAGGGACTGAGATCACGACCTGAGCTGAAGTTGGATGCCCAACCGACTGAGCCACCCAGGCGCCCCTACATTTACTGTTTTTAAGTTGTATGAATAATGGCTGTTTCTCACTGAAAACTGAGACAAAACAAAAGAGGGAGAATAAGAAAAAAAAACTGTCACCAATGTTCTAGACACATCACTGTTCCCTTTTTGACATGTTTTCGTGTCAGTTTATTTTCTATGTTTTAATATTGGGGAGTTCGTACTGTGTAATGAAGTCCTTTTTTATTTTGTGTCAAATTTTATTGAACTTGCAGCTTATTTTATTTGAAAAAATCAATTGAAATTTCATCTTCAGCATTGCTCAGCAATTCATCGTGGGCCATGTTCCTCTTGATTTTAATTTACATATACTTAAGGTGACGTTGTCAGTTGTCTTACTCTGCCTTCGCTAAGAAATAGCTAATTAACTGCCCAGTGCAAAAAGCTACAGGCTGATTCCTCGATCCCCAGATGCTGTCCAGTGTCGTCTTTCAGTTTCATTCCATGGTGAAATGCTCTGGATACTCATCACGTTCCACTTCCATCTGTTTTTCCCACCAATATTAAAAATTCCTTTTTAAAAAAATTTTTTGAGGTTTATATATGGTAGTGTTGCTATCTGGAAAAGTAGGTGTTTACATCATTGTTTTTCTTCTTCTCAATATACCTAATTTCCAATCCAAGTATTTTCAGATGAAATTTAAAGGGCATTTTTGTTGTTATTTCATATTTACATAAAATTTTCATATCATTCTCCTAGATTTTTTTTTTGTGGTGAAAAACACCATTACTTCTGCACAGAATATAAAATATACCATGCTAACGAACCATTTTAAGTGTACAGTACAGTAGTGTTAACTATATGCACATTGTTCTGCAGTTGAGATCATTTAAAATTTTTGTTCAACATTTATTTATTTTTGATAGACAGATCATGAGCGGGGGAGGGGCAGAGAAACAGGGAGACACAGAATCCCAAGCAGGTTCTAGGCTCTGACTGAGCTCTCCTCACAGAGTCCAGGGCAGGGCTGGAACCCATGAACAGTGAGATGGTGACTTGAGCCGAAGTCAGGCACTTAACCGACAGAGCCACCCAGGCGGTAGCCAGTGTAGATAAAGTAATTTGAGGAAGTCAGAATTTTGTTTAATGTTTTATTTATTTCTGAGAGAGAGAGAGAGAGAGAGTGAGCGCGAGCTAGCAGGGGAGGGTCAGAGAGAGGGAGACAATGAATCTGAAGCAGGCTCCAGGCTGAGGAACTTGGAAATTCAAGCATTTTGTCTCTACAGTTTTATCTCTTTCCTCATTGTCAAGGCCCCTAGTGAGTGCAGATTCTGCAGATTCACATGGCTCGCCCTGCAGATTTTGCAAACTGCCTTGGATCTCATGTGTTTAGTACAGAAATTCTGCCACGTGCAAACCCAGAAACCTGGAACTCCGCCATATTGAACTGACTGAACAGCTGTCCACCCCTCTCCTCAGCTGAAGTGCTGATCAGGACAGTGATGCCAGTGTCACACGATGCTCATGTGGATGCTTTTCCCCACAGACTGTAGGAGCAGAGAACAGTTCAGAGCATTCACAGAAGCATCTCGAAAGACACGCTCTGCTCAATACAGCTATCCTGATGAGAAAGATAAGGACTTCCGTGATCTAAATCATGGGTATGTATGGAAATACTTAATTTCTTGAAGCAATTTACTATAGATTTACTTCACATATACAGTTTGAGGGGTTTTATAGGAACCACAGTTGACTCATTTACATGTAGGATAAATCACATGAAGATGAACAAATAAATACATTTTGTAATTAATATGGGTCCCTTTTCACTCTGAGCATCATATCCAGGGCCTGCGTGGCAATACATATTTCTCAACAAAGTACGGAAAATTGCACATCGTGAATGTTATTGTGATTCCTTAAATCACATTATGGATATTGCTGTTTTTTAAAATTCTTTTTGAAAATAGGAAACTCAGCATATTGTTTGTAAGACAGTAATAATATTTATCAAGATATCAAATATCCAAGTATTGCAAGGAAGGTTTAATTTTTGACCAAGAGAGGATATTTTTGAATTCTTCAGAAATCGGGAAATGTCCATCTTATTACTTTGAAACTGGTCAGGACTTCTCGTGTGGCACTTATATACCAGCTTCATACATAGTGGCTTCTTTACAAAGCTTCTCTTCATGTTGTCCTGGAAGCTTCTCCACACAGACACAGGATAAATCCAGGAGCTCCTTTTCGTTGAGTGAATATCAATAGATGCTTGTGTAATTAAATTACCACCACCACCAAACAAACAAAACCCGTGTAATTCACAGCCCCCTGGAAGAGGTGCTATTGAAGGCACATCCTTACCACAAACCAGGAACTTGGTGTTTCACAGCAGCCTCCTAAGTATTCTAATTCAGTCAAGTTCAAAGGACATCATTGAAGTTCCTGTCCTCAATTACAAGTGGAAATTTGCGAAGTAAGATTTACTTACTGTCTAGAATTTGCTGTCTAGGAGAGGAGGTCATGTCATCTGATAAGAAAGATGGATTCTGGCACATGTTCATGCCTTGTTTCCACTACTTTGTAGCTACAAGTTATGTAAAATTTCAGAATCTCAGCTTCTTCGGCTATAAAATGGGCTGATAATACCTACTTTATAAGATTGTTATGTTGGGAATATATGTATGTAAAGCACCAAATGGTAATGCGGGAAGTAGCATTTTATAGGCATTCCACAAAAGCCAGGTTAGCAAATGCTGCTCAATGCTCACTATATGCCAAACATTCTTTTAAACACTATGCAAATAGTAACTCATGGAGCAAAAGTGCTCATGCACGTAGTGATATGAAATCGAATTAGGGTGCCGTGTAGTTCAGAACAAGGTTGCAGTTCATCCTACTGGGCCTTTAGCCTACACAGAAAAAGGACTAAGACTTTGATGAAGGTTTAGTGCTTACTAGGGTGAAAGAAGAGTGAGACAAATCATGGGAGCAAAGAAAAGTGAAGTGTGTTTAGAGAGTGGCAGGGCTGGACTGTGTGATTGAGCAGGTGAGTTCAGTACTTAGGGATGAAGAGCATTCTGGAAGAACATTCTATGAAAGGAGATTGAGGCAGAGAGAGAGAGAGAGAGAGGCCTTTAATTCTGGCCTAAGGAAACGAAATCTATTCCATGTGTTCCCCCTTCCTGCAAGCTGAGCAGGCACCGGAGCCCCAGTCAGAACCATCTATAAATAATTTAAGGGGCAGAAGACAGTCACTTGGCCCTTATTTAAGTTAGCATTTCATTTGGTTTGTAACTCACTCTACTACCTGACATGTTTCACCAGAGAAAAATTGGAAATAGATATAGGTCCACATATTTGCAGGCACTTTTTCTTTCCTCATAAGATGTGAATGGGGATCTATCTGGCTCTGATAGTCACATCCACAAGTATGTAGTGTGGACAGAACACTTGCGGCCTGCTTCTGCCCTGCCCTGCGGCCACATCCATGTCCTTCCGAAAAGATTCATTTCACTTGTTTGGAGGTAATGACTAAATGTATGTTATTATCTGAACTCTTAAGATGATGGTGACCGGGGCGCCTGGGTGGCTCAGTCAGTTGGGTGTCCGACTTCGGCTCAGGTCATGATCTCACAGTTAGTGGGTTAAAGCCTTGCGTCGGGCTCTGTGCTGACAGCCAGCTCAGAGCCTGAAGCCTGTTTCAGATTCCGTGTCTCCCTCTCTCTTTGACCCTCCCTTGCTCACGCTGTCTCTCTCAGAAATAAATAAAACATTAAAAAAGTAAAAAGATGGTGACCTTGTTCCACTCACATACAGCCTTTGTCACTTGGTTACAGATTGGGTGACTTCAGTTTTAGCCTCCTGCCATCTTCACCAATTTTACTCACACACTTTGCAATTGGCAGTTATCGTTGATATGGTGATAAAAAGATAATAGTATCTTCGTCGTGCCTGAACATGCATGTTCTTCAGTAATGCTTTGTAGATAGATGGTTCTGTGGTACTTGAGCACAAGACTTACATACAACGCAGGTGGGGAGGCCATTCCATGGGAAACCTGGAGGACTTTACTAACTGGCTCTCAGAGCCCCCTCGATCACCGTGCACAGAGCGCTCAGGCCATGACTTCACTTTTACTTTTCTCTGCTCATTTATCTTTCTTGCATTTACCCTCTTGGTCACAGATTGAGCCTCTTTTCAACACACTGTACATGAATTCACATCACTTCCACTTGACAAATATTATAATTTTTTCGTAATAAACTCGATGCTGAATTTCATGTTTTGAATAAGAATTTAAAATATACTGGGGTGCCCAGGTAGCTTAGTCATTAAAGCATCTGACTCATGATTTCGTCTCAGGTCATGAGATGGAGCCCTGTGCGTGGCTCAGCACATGGATTGAGATTCTCTCTCTCCCTCTCTCTCTGCCCCTCCCCCACTTGCTAGCACTCACTGTCTTTCTCAAAATACAGAAATATTTTTTAAAAAGGAATTTAAAATATAACAATATCCCTATGTCCATTTTTTTTCTTTCATCCACCACCGCCCACCAATAATCTCCCCAGTTAGCGTCCTTGTCTGTTTTCTCTCCTTCCACGTTGCCTAAAACAAATATAATCAGGCCTAAAATGTCTGTGTAGTGGTTAAGAAAGGTTAAATTTCATTTTTAAAAAATATGATTTGCATCTCGCTGTGCAATCTAATAGCTCTTTATTATGGACATGTTAACAACTTTCTAAGCTACAGTATTCTCATATGAAAAACAAGGCTGCTTAAACTATCTCTTAGCACTGCTGGGTGCTTCCAGTGAGGCTTGGCCTCCAGGGCAGAGCAATCAGAACTGCAGGGTCCCTGAAAGGGATAAAGAACTGGAGTCTGCTTTATTTAGCATCCGTGACTTATCCCCACCCTCTACTCCAGGCAGAAGTCATTACCTTCTTATTTGTCTTCCTCATACAAATGTTGTATTTCCTGCTTGCTCACGACTGGTATTTTCTGAGAGAATGTGAGCAGCCAACTTACTGGAAAGCACCCTCACATCTATTTAGCATAATACCTGTCACAGAACTCACACCCAACACATACTTGCTCCATTATAAACACCATCTGATTGTATAAAATCTGGTCTGGCCAATATCAGCCACTCCTCATGTTCCTACAGTCAGCGCGTTAAATCTTGGTAATTACACCTTTATACAATCATCCAGACTTCTTTGTGGTTAAATGCCCCCTGGTTAGACCCTGATGACTTACAGGAGAGAGCACTATGAAGACAAAAATGCCAAATAATTTTAATTAAAATTCTCCATTGTTATTAATATCACCCATAGCAACACTTGTGCACTTGAATTGAATGGAGCACAGCACCATGGTAAAAGCCGGTGTTTGGCCGCTATTGATTCATGGTGCCTCTAATTCATTGTCCTAATAGACATAGAGGTGATCTAGTGACTGAGGGTAGCTGGACGTGGTAATTTCTGTTCTTTTCCAATGCTACCTTCTTCTAAATTCTCTCTCTCTGATAAAAACTCTATAACACGTCTTTGGTTTAGAAATTGTTTTACAAGCTCATAGGATGTACCGTTTCTGGCAAGCCATTTTCTTACTCAACAATAAAAGACATACACCAAGCAGAACAAAGCAGGACCATTTTGAAAGTTACAACGGCTTCTATATAAGGAACAAGTTTTAACAAAATTTGGCAAAAAAGAAAGAAAACTTGAGACATGAATAGCATGTCAACTCAATCAAATTTATTTAAAAATATTTTTAACAATATATCGTCATCATAGATGGATGGAACTTTCTTTTCAATTCCCCAAACTCATTACTTACCTGTGTCTTTTGAGAACTTCAGTTAAGCTCCAGGAATCATATTTTAAATTCAGCCCAAGAATTTTTATTTCCTTTTATCATCGACAATACAAAGCTATTTTTGTATCTGGTTTAAGATTAGATTTTTGTCAGACTACCGTTCTTATCTTAATTTAGTTATTGCCATGAATTTATAATGGAGCAAGGAACTTTCCCACCGAGGTGCTATATAATATACAATATTTAATTTGTCACTGCTCTTTCACTATGAAATGAAATGAACAATTTTTAGCAAAAGGCATAATTTGAGATCTAAATAATATGTCAAATAGATAGGTAATACTTCATGGTATTCCCTTTATTCCTAGGAAATACGTCCTTATCATTTTAAGTAAACTACATGAGGCAGATATGACACTCTGGATCATCTTCTTTTATGACATTTAATTTTAGTTTCTAATTCCAGTCACATCTCTTCCTTATTATGGTCACACGGAGCAGCAGTAACAATGCCATGTACATTCCAATGCCAGAGGAATACTTGTTGATTTTTTTTTATCATGCAACTTTTTCAGCATTTTATTTGCTTCTCATATACACAGGCCACAAGATCACTTGTATGCAGATGAAGATGGTAGAAATGTGACACTTCTGGCAAAAGCAAAGTTTGCACAAGATTTCAGCAATTTTGCCGCTGAAATTCAAAACACCATCAAGGCTCTCAGAGAACAGGTATGTTCCTGCCCCCAAGAAATATGCCCTTATTGTATAGGTTGGAATGAATAGATTTTTAAAAATCTGACCAATAACTCTGTAAATATATAGCACAGTACTAGAATAATAAAAGGGGGGTTATATATGTGGAGAGCTTCCTGGTAACCATTGAATTCAGGGATGGAGGACTTGGGTAAAACCATATCCTTTCTGCTAAATGCCAATGTTTCCAATATACAAGGGTTCCCGTGACGGGGGCTCTCTGTGTCTGGGGTCCTGCTCAGCATCTCTGAATAATTGTGTTCAATGCTCTCTTCATCTCTGTGGATGTAGATAATTCGTAACAGGCATAACGCATACTTTTCCTATAATTTCTTTTTTTGAAATGGGAGTCAATAAAGCCTCTTAGGGATTACTGCTTTCTCTGGATTTCCTTTTCTGAAAAAGTTACTGTTAAAAATGAAATTTCCACACTCCTTATTGCTTAATTTCTCGGTTGTTCTGCCTCGTGGTTTATTTAATTGTTCCTAAAACTTGGGAAAGAATCAATGAGAGATTTGGCTTGTATTAGAAATGGCAATGAGGGGTGCCTGGGTGTCTCAGTTGGTTAAGCGTCCGACTTCGGCTCAGGTCATGATCTCACGGTTCGTGGGTTTACGTCGGGCTCTGTGCTGACAGCTCAGAGCCTGGAGCCTGCTTCAGATTCTGTGTCTCCCTCTGTCTCTGACCTTCTCCTGCTCATGCTGTCTCTCTCTCTCTCTCTTTCTCTCTCTCTCTCTCAGAAAGGAATAAAAAAACATTTTAAAATATTTAAAAAAAAAAGAAATGGCAATGAGATGGTTTCAGACATGGAGTTTGGTCTCTCTCAAGTCATGGTGCCATGCTGGCTATTTCTTCTACTACAGTGTTACTGGGTAGTGTATGCTTTTCCTTCGTCCTGTCAGAGGCTTTGAAGCAGAAAGCTCTGTGGGGCTGTGAGAAGCCAATGGTTTCTGCTGTCAGGAAGTTCTGACTTTACAAGTCGTCTGACTTGGGCCATTTGTTTAACCATTCAGAGCAACCGTCTGTCGTCTGGACCTTCAGGAATGTAATGAGAATCAAATGAGATTCTGTGGCAGGAGCAGTTTGTGAACAGTAACCCTCTTAATGTATGACTGTTGCTTTTGAACACAAACATATCTTGTATCGAAATGGGAGATTACCTGCTTGCCATGTGTGCCACCTGAGAGCTGGAGGCAGCCTTGGTCCCCATTAGTGCGTTACCCAGAGTGCCCATCCTTGTGACTTGAACGTCCACTTGTCCAATCACTTGTCCAGTCTGAGTCTGAACATAAATCTGAAAGATGTGAAGCATTGTTTCTAGAAGGTTATTCTTAAAGGTTAAGTTTATTCTATCCTGGAATGGTTGAGGTGACCTAGGACTCTGGGACATCACAGAGCTCATGTGTCATAGAAGAGATAAATTACAATGGCAGGAGAGAGTCCTTAGTGCTGGGCTGCAGAAGGTGGGTCCTGCTCATTTTAAACCTTAATCTATTTATGTAGGAAATTCTTTTTTCATAAGCATATTTTATAGGATTTGCAGACACAGGCAGAATCCATAAGCAACATTTCAGTCTAATTTTATCTACACTTTGGTGGTGATAATTACACCTTTGATATGTTTTACAATGATTTGAAGCTTCCCAGGTACCGCGAGACTGCAGTAGCTGGTCCTGCTGGGTGTCCAGTAACCTTCAGGTGTCGGAAGGAGCACAGTGTCTCTAAATAGGTAAAGAGAAAGTGTTTTTCCCTGTTAACTTGCTCTATCTCTCCCATTCCATTAGTAAATTTCTTAATAGCTAGGACTGTTTCACTGCAGAATTCTCCATACCTGACACATAGTACAGTAAAACCTTGGTTTGTGAGCATAATTCATTCTGCAGACATGTTTGAAATCCAAAGCACTGCGTATCAAGGCAAATTTCCCCATAAGAAATAATGTAAACTTAGATGATCCATTCCAGAATCCAAAAATATTCATATAAAAATGATTATAATACTGTAATATAGCACAAAATAATGAAGAAAATACAAAATATAAAGAAAAATAAACAAATTAACCTGCACTTACCTTTGAAAACTTTCATGGCTGGTGTGAGGGAGACCAGAGAGAGGAAGGTTATTGTGTAGGACGACTTTCACTGTCACTAACAGGCCTTTGTATATGCTTGCATGGATATTGACTACAGTACAGTATTAATCAACTCCTGTAATATTTAATGTAATTGGCAGTAAGGCAGCAGAGGAGAGGGTCTATATCTACAGGCAGCCTGACCTAGAATGAAGCAGAACATTCCTAAGTTTACTCTTTTATGGGAAAGCAAAGGACTGTCCATAGGTGCTTTGACGTTACAAAAAATACACTAGTGCCAGTGGTGGGCACCTTCCAGCGTTCTGAAAAATCACTGATTTCTGCCAAACACCATGGCCTGAGATTGAACATCCGAGCATGGGACATGATCACCCACAATCCCGCAGTGAGAGAGAGAGAGAGAGAAGGGCCATTGATTCAGTTGTGATCATGTGATATTTGGCATCACGTACTACTTATATTGCAAGACATCACTCTTTATCAAGGTAAACTTTATCAGAAATATATGCTTATCTTATGGAACACTTGCAGAACAAGTTACTTGCTTGTCCGAGGTCTCCCTGAGCTGTGGCCAGGCCACACCGATGAGAACAGTTTGCAGCAGCGCACAGAGCTGTGTGCACACTGAATGACACCTACCCAAATCTTCGCATATAAAAATGGAATAAATATACAAATATGACATAATACCAGCAATGGGAAATATTGACTCAAGCCAGAAATCAGTGCAGATCATGTAAAGGACATTGGACAAAGAGAAGAGTAGAGAATGGAACACAGATAAATTGCACATAGTTCCTGGGTGGCTTTCAGGAGCGTCTACAGCTATATCTATGACCAGAGCAGCAGGCACTCATGGGGGGACGGGATTATGGGGACAGAAGTTCTGAGGGCAATCCAAAGTTTCAGATATGAGAAGCCCTCAGGATTTGTGAAATTAACATTTGCTATTAATTTGTCATTTCCTATACAAAGACCTGAGTTTTGATGTTGAAATAGTGAAAGTGTGCCTCTTAGCTAAAGACAGACGTTTCTGATGATGCAGCGTGTGCAACTTTGTGGCTTTTCTGCTGCTCATCACCTTGGATGCAATACATTCTGTAAATAAATAAAAGCAAAACCCAACCCTTTAATTTATGAAAAATGAGCATACAGATAAAGTCATGTGTATTTTTCTTGGTGAAATCAAAGACAATGAAGAAGTAGATTAAACAGGATATAGAAACTGTAGTCCATAGTGGTCCTCATCACATAGGAGATTATTGTTGTTCTTGAGACCCATCCGTTGTCTATGACAAGATTCGAACCTTTAGTTATTAGCCAAGGGTTTCTACCTTTACTTTCTAACCTAGGTACATTATGTCTGTGAGGCTGTGAGATAGTGTCAGTCCAGACATTTTCCATTGTTTATCATTTACATTTATTATGTGACTTTGGACTATCTAGAAAAGATATCCATTGATGTTGATCCCTTAACCATGATAGACTCAAAGTAATAAAAGTGGTCTGCGAATTCCATGGTATTCTAGCTATTTTGTAATCAGTGGATTATAATGATTATATTTGCCCTTTAAATATGATTCTGATCATTGAAGAGATAATTAGAGCCAAAACTACACTCAGAACATTTAATTATTTTTGTTTGTGTTAGTGCCTAATTTACTTGGTTCTGGAGGGTGTCTGTTGGGGGGCGGGATGTGGTATATAATAAACAGATGATACATAAAAACTTATACCTTAATTAAAGTTAAACACTTAGCAAAGTTTTCAAACTGATGTCACAGTAAGTACTTTATAAAGAATAGTTGAAACTTGGGGATAAAGTCTCAGATCCCTAGTATCATTTTGAGTGAATATACACTATAATAAGACATATATTCAGACTCAGACAATCAGATTTTTAAAAGAAAATCTAGGCCATTCAAGTCAGCTCTTGAACCATTTATTTCAAGGTCTATTCAAGTTAAATAAGACTCACAAGGTTGCATTTAATTTATACTTAAAATTAATAAGATAAGCATGTACTATACTTTGTTATAAATGTCAAGATCATAATAAAATTGAACTATAGTCTTCATATGGTATATGCTTTTCCCACAACCCTTTAGTATAATGTATATATTTTCTCCTTCTCTAGGACCCTATCATAAAGGTATTTATAATTTTATGGTTGAGGTTTATGGTATTTATACTAACTATGCCATTATGACATTATTAGCCAGAGCTAGAATTTACTTAAAGCATTATAGGCTAGGAATTTATCTTGCAAGTGTGTCATTTGCTTAAGAAAACAAAATGTCCTGTATATTTCGATACAATTTCTAGAGCCACAATGTGATAAAAAATGGAGTCTACCTATTTTCTTATATGGACCTAAATTTTCAGAGTTATATAATCATGACAGGCAATTTATATTTCTATCACTTTTCAGAAATTATGTCAGACATGATCAGATCTTAGACCTTATGACACAACTCAAAAAGTGCCTTTGAGTACTGGTGAAGAATAGTACAGTGGAGATATACAGATATCACTGAGACATTTGCATGTACTCACTTAAAATCATTTGGAATACCACATCAATTTTATGACATTGTAGAGAGAACTTTATTTTCTGATATTTTATTATTCCTTATTATGAATTTTTCAATAGACAGATGAAACTCTGAAATTAAAGTTAAAACATAAGCTTATTTTATTACCCAAGGGGATCTATTGAATAAGTCCAGTCTCAGCGAAAATAACAGAAACTCCTCTAGTTATTCCAAGTAAGATGGATTTTCATACAAGAAGTCAGAGGTTTTCACAACTGTTGGAAGAGTGGGAGTACCAAAAATCATAGAAACAGGTGCTGGAAGGTATTTGGTCCACCAGGAGCTCACCT